TGATAAGCACATGAAAAGAGGCTCAATATCTGTAGTCATCAGGGAAATAGAAATTAAAACCACTGTATTATTTACATGCTCATTAGAATAGCTAAAATTAAAAAGGCTTACTGTTTCAAAGATGTGGGACATCTTTCACTAGCATACTGTTTTTATGTTTACACTAATACTTGTACACAAATGTTCTGGTAATTTTATTTGTAATGATCAAAATCTAGAAATAATTCTGTTACAGGTGAATGGATAAACAAAATGTAGTTCATCCATGTGATGAAATACTATTTTGCAATATAAAAGGAATAAATTGATAAGAACAACAGGATTATACTGAATGAAAGAAGCCAAATAAACCATTATGAATGAAAGCAGATAAAAAATATATTATTCTGTTTATATATAATTATGTTAAATGCAAACTAGTCTATATTGACTGAACACAGATCAATGGTTGCCTGAGGACAGGCAGGGTTTGTGAAAAGGTAGATTGCAAAGGGACGCAAGGAAATTTTTGAGATGATGGAAATATTTGTTATCTTAATTGTGATGATAGTTTCACATGTTTTTAAATATACATCAGAATTGTTCACATAGTACCTTTTATTTATATCTATAGTTTCTTGTATGTAAATAAGAAAACTAAGTCATATAATTGAATCTAATGTTGATGACCTTCCAAAGGTTCCCATTTCTTTTAGAGTAAATGCCCACAGTCTTATGTTGGATTACCAAGTCCTATACTATCCACTCCAGTTTGACTTTTTTGACATACCTCCTTTGATGTTCCCTCCTGGCTCCTTCTGCCAACCAAACTGATACCCCTCCTGTTTCTAAAACATGTTAGTTATGTTCCCACTCCTAGATTGTTCCACTGGTTGGTTATTCCTTCTGCCTGGAGTGCTTTTCTCCAGATACCCTCAGATTTTACTCATGCTGCTTTAATTCCTTTTACCTCCTCTGACTTATGATATATGTTTTAAAATTTTATTTTAACCTGGCAATAGTATTGTTTTATACAATCAGTATTCATTTAGATTAAGTCACACATAACTCTTGAGGTTTCCCATTCCTTGTTTCAACAGAGATATGCCATCTGGGAATCACTTACATTGTGCCTAAAGCCCATCCTTCAGTATTCACTTAGGGAAGTTTGTGGTAACACTTGCAGTTGTTATTTGTCCAAAATGTCTTTATTTTGTTGTCAGTTTTAAAAGCTATTTTTCTTAGGATAGACTTCTAGGTTTGTAGGTCCCCCTCTCCCCCAGCATATTAAAGAAATCATTCTACAGTATTCTGGTTTTCATTGTTGCTCGGAGAAAATCAGCTGTCAACCTAATTACTACTCTTTTCTCTGGCTGTTCCATAGATATTTTCTTTATCTTTGATGTCCTGTAGTTTCAGTATGATTTATTCTGATTGGAGCTCATTGGGATTCTTGATTTGGTAGGTTACCTTTTTGTTGTTGTTCTAGAAATTATCTTTTCATATATTTACCCTCCCCACTATTTTTTTTTTATACTTTCTGGAACTTTTATTAACCTGTTATACCCTTTTACTCTATTCTGATGAGTGTCTCAAACTTCTGTATTTTTTATTCCTTTATCTCTGAGCTACATTCTAAATAACTCCTTAGGGTCTAACTTTTATTTCATTAACAATCTCTTTACCTTCATCTAATCTGTTGCTAAAATTCTGGTCATTTCAGATTTCAATAATTGCTTTTCATTTCTAGAAATTTTATTTGGTTCTTTTTCAAAAACTGACTCCTGCCCTACAGATATTTTACAACATACCTTTAAATCTTTATATGATAATTCCAGTGTCCGAAATCTTTGCAGCTGTATTTCTTCAATAAGATATTTTTTCATTTTCTTTTTTTCATGATTTATTCATTATATTTATATAATTGATTGGGTGATTTTTTTTTTTTTTTTTTTTTTTTTGAGGCTTAGGATCAAGGTGGTATGTACCTTCAGAGAGAATTTCTTTTCTTCAATATTAAAAGCTTTATATTTGGGACCATCTTTATCTAAACCCACAATTTTATTAGTTTTCCCTTGGACCCCTAAAAATATGAATATTGGCTGCAAATATGCATGAGAGCTTGCGTTTGGTTAGAACTTTCAGGAACATTTTTGTTCCTTCTTTGCTAGACATGTAAGTAGCTTTCCAAAGATCCTTTTATTCTTTCATTGAGCGTTTTCTGCAATAAAATTGGTCTATATTGTTTAGTGTGCTACTAAACCCACATTTTAAAAAAACATAATTATAATTGTGCTTTTTTTTCATAGTACACACTCTTTGTAATATTGTCAATGGCTCTGTGTTTTGTCTAGTGACTCAGTATATTTAATCATTCTCCAATTGGGACATTAAGCTTTTTCCTTATGGGTTTTACTATTATAAATAATACTGATAAACTGATTTCATAGGTAAAAATGTCTATTATTTTGTCTTGCCTTAATACTTTTATGGTGGTACATTTTCCAAATACAAAGTATCTGTTCTTAACCATTCAAATCTTAGATCTTTTTCTTGAAGATTTCTATAATCTTTTCATAAAGATACTAACCTATTGTCTAACAGGTTACTCTGCTCCAATGTTTTTGTTTCTGCCTATTTGAGGAACAGATTTTTGGAAACTTCACAAATAATTCTTTTTTCAAATTTTAACAGATGTTCTCAATCTAATTATTAATCTAATAATCTAATATTAAAAATTAATATTCTACTTGTAAACAGTTATTTAAAATTTTGATCCTGGTAATCATCTGCCAGTTCTTGTATTTATCACTATTTTATGTTCTGAAATAGTTATCTCAACATTTTTCTCATTTCTAGAACCTACGGCTCTCCTGTCTCATGTACCCCTCTCAGTGAGCATCTGTGTTAGCCTCTTTGTTGTGTTTAAAAAGTACCTCCCTTGTTTCCCCAAATCTCAGGGTTTACAGGAATTAAAATTTATTTCCCTCATACACGACACTTAGGCAGCTGTGATCTGCTTTTGCAACCCTCCTTCATTTGCCTTCGTGATCTAGGGCCTGGGCCAAAAATGTCACTCCATTGGAGACATGGCATTCTGTGGCAGAGAGTAAAAAATAAGAGTTGATTTATACCATAATACCTCTTAAAACTGCTGTTTAGAGGCAGCATGTCCATCTATGTGTTTCTCTGACATGATCAAATGCAGTGGGAGTTGCATAGGAATGCGTGTTCCTCCCATAGGAGGCACTCCCAAGTCACGGGACTGGCCAGAGCTATATGGAAGAGGCAAGTGAGTATTTGGCAACAATAACACAATCTTTCATATCTCTTCTTATGTTTAACCTCCTAGGGTAAGTTTTTATAATTACTCATCTCCATATTGAAGCTTTTTTGTTGCCTTCCTTTATGCCTTAAATATAGTTACTCTTGTAAAAATGAATCATTTTACCTATGATCTTCAGTTGACTGGAATATTAGTTTATCAAGGACAGAGATTCTTCTTCATTCAGTGCTTTCTTAGCACTGGAAGAATGCTTGGCTCATAATATGCTTTCAGTAAATATATTTCCCTTATTATATCAGTTATTTTGTCAGGTTTTGGGTTTTTTTGGGGTTGGTTGTGTTTTTTGTTGTTTTTCTTTTTTTTTTTTGTATCTTCAGGTCTTTCTTCTAGCTCTATCCCTAAGTCTAAATGACCGTATTTTCTTGAACTGTTTTAATAAATCACAGCTATGTATTTAACTAATTCTGTCAAATAATTCTCTTCAATGAAGAGAAAAAAATTACATAAGTTTTAAATTCCTTTGGAAAATACAGCCTACATTCTTCTTCCTATAAATACATTCATCACCCATCATTTAAAAAAAAACAAACTCCCTTTGACTCTCACAATCTATAACTTTTCACTGTTGCTCTAAAATTATTCTTTATCTTGTACATTTCTCATTTTTTTAACCTCTCTTGAACCTCTTCTCCCTAAAAAGCTTGTTTCTCTAGATCACGAAGCTCTATAATTCACATTTTTCTATTTCTAAGGCTTTTTTTTCCCTCTTTTCCTTAGAATGTCCTCTTCTACCACTTAAGTGTACTAATACTCTCAGATTCTGGGTTTAGCCCTCTTTATTTCTTGCTGTGTGTCCTTTTAAGTGGTCCTCTCATTTGCATGGCTTTCTCATATTTATTTATACATAGATGATTTACAGTTCTGTTTCTTATAATAGTTATTCTGAGTTTGTCCCCTCATTTCCCCTGTTGGGCATTTCCATTTGAATGTCTTTAGCTCCACCTTGACATGTCCAAAACCAAATTGTTTTTCTCGTAATACTGACTCCTCCATTGGAACTAAGTCCTATTTTTGTTGATGATGCATAATCACCATGCTTCTAAAAGGAAAGGGAAGAGGAACAGCATTTGTTTAGCATCTAGTACAGAGTAAACACTGTGCTTGTCAGTATGTAATGTCTAGCTCAAATTTTACGTCTGAGAAACCTTCTCCAAAACAGAATGAATCCTCTATGATCCCTTCTTCTTAGGCCACTTGTAGTACATTTGTATTTAAACTGCTAGATCCTCAGCATATGAATCTCCTTTAATTATATTTTTAGTTTGTAAACCTCTCAAAGACAAGAATTTTTATTTCATATTTCTTTTTATCAATGCAGTACCGCATAGGTACAGTATAACTTAATAAGTATTTGATTATTTTCACATAGAAACAGTCCCCTAAATAAGGGCAAGAATCTCATCCTAAATAACAAAACTAAGTAACAAACTAATAACTCAAAACTAAGTAACAGCTAAGCTGTACTCTTAAATCTTGAACCCAATTGAAGGGGGTTAGCCTCTGTAAATGGAAGAGACTCTTCACTTATACATTAAGGATCACTTGTTGAATAAATTTTTACTTCATAACAGAAACTCTTTAACAGTAATATACCCTCAAATAGCTGTTTTATACTGCTTTGATAACCATATTTATAGAAGGTAGTATATTTATTTTAGCTTCTCTTTCCTATTAGGTGCACCAGGTATAATTTCCTCACCATATGCGGGGGCTGCTGGATTTGCCCCAGCCATTGGATTTCCTCAAGCTACAGGTGACTCTTTTAAAGTTGAATTTGAAATTATTTTTCTGATTTTCTGTATTTTCTAGGAACTTATCAAGGTGAAAAATATTACCATATTTGAAGGATTTACAATAAAAGTATTATGTGTGTCAACCATAGAAGTGGTTCATTGTATGATACATAGCTTCCTTATATTTACAAATCTCTCTTGTTCCATTCTCAGTTGCAAATTTCCATTATATGTTCTACATTGTTTATATTTGCTAATGGCACAGATAACTTTAAGTTGACTATATTAAATAGCCTTAGGTTTGCCATTTTGGATATTGTATAAAATACATGGACTGAATCTGTCTTTGCCGATAAGCTTATCAGCTACATGTTGAACAGATCTGTATCTTAATGTTTGTCCTCAAACCTTTGATGGCATTCAGTACATATTATGCAGTTAGTAAATATTTGAATCAATAAACATCTATAATGAGTTCAGAAGATTACCATCAGATGGTATGCATGCTGTTAATTTCAGGGGATATGTATTTTTTTCTTTAGCTAATGGAGATACGTATTTGCCATGTTTAATGCATACTCTTCTGCCCACATTTTTGAGGGAAAAAATAAGGATGCACATTATACATGGTTAGTACCTGAAATACCTTGTATGTGTTCTTGTGTTTGGTAATTGTTACATAAAATTTCAAAAATAAATGCTGAAATTCCTTTATAATACAAAAAAACCAAATACCTAAATATAAATTAAAAATTGAATTAAGAAATTAAAATGAAAGATTTTTTTCCTGAAAGTTTGGGCCAAAAACTTGGGTGTGCATTATACATGGGAACACATTATACACAGCCAAATGACTCTCACTCTTTTCTAAGTAGTAAACAGATAAGTTTGATCATAACTTAAGGGAACAAAAAAATTTCCTTATGATATTATCTCTGGTTCCTAAAGAAAATTTTGAGGTTGGCAGTTAGAAGAGTGGTATTAAGCTAGTCTACATACTACGTTTCCAGCTTCCAGCTGATTTATGACTATAACTATTTTAAGTTGCAATATAGCTGCTTTCTGGCAATAATCTTTATATCCTACCCTTCTAATTCAGAGAATTTTAACTACTTTCTCTTTGATGGACAGGATGAAGTTAATTAAAAAAGAAAGGGTGATAAGACTGAGGTTTAAGTTGTAGGGTTTTGGTGGTTTTAAGACATGTTAACATGCTTAATTAAGCGAATATTCTGACTATTCCATTAAAATGCAGGCATTGTAGACTTTTTATATATTTGAAGCCCCCACGTGTTTAATTGACATACATTTCAAAGTAGTGTTACAGGTTTTCCTCATTGTAGATATTTCTTTTTAGAATATCAACTAGATATTTCTTTTTGAATATCAGCTTTTCTTTCTTAACATCAACTACAGTATTTGATGTTAAGAAAGAGAAGTCAATAAAACTTTTAAGTTCTTGTAGAGGGGGATAGACAGTCAGCCCTCCATATCCATGGGCTCTGCATATGTGGATTCAACCAATTGTGGATTGAAAATATTTGGGGACAGAAATGTTACTGATGCGCAGTATGTGATTATGCATTCAGTGATTGTGTATTTACTGAACACATACAGACTTTTTTCTTGTCATTATTTCCTAAAAACAGTTCAGTTTAACAAGCACTCACAGAGCATAGCACTGACATTGTATTAGGTATTGTAAGTAATTTAGAGATAATTTTTAAAGGATATGGGAAGATACATAAAAGTTATATGCAAGTGCTATACCATTTTATGTAAGGGATTTGATCATCCTCAGAGTTTGATACTTGTGGGCATCCATGGATATCAAAGAATGACTGTGTATATACGAGTACATATGCATACACATAGGCATCCTACAACGTAGCTAAGCTGTGCTTTTGGCAATATATGATAGACCTACAAAAGTACAGCATAAGGAATATAGTCAATAATATTGTAATAACAATGTATGGTGCCAGGTGTGTACTTAAAATCTTAGGGGGAACATTTTGTAAGGTATATGATTGTCTAACCAATATGTTGTACACCTGAAACTAATACAAAATAAAATTTGAAATAAAGTATAATTGAAAAGAATTTTAAATGAAAAAAAAGTTATTCAAAAGTTGTAGAGTTGGATTGGAGTGGCATAAGAAGAAGTCATATGAAAGACTTGATTATAAATTTCGTGGAAGAGTATCCAGCCTGAGATGGTAGTCTGCAGAATTTTAAAATTCATCAGAACGATAGTAGTGATAAACTTTAGATTTATCAAGCACAATACCAGGAGGCTGAATGTAAACTATATTGCAATTTAATTACATGATTCGTGGGAAAGTGGAAAGATCCTGTCTATTACAAGGAATTTTGAGTTCTAAGAATCAATAAATTAAGGAACTGTTTTATTTTGTACTAGAGATTTTACCTTACATAATTTTTTTGAAGATTTTGTTTATTTTTATAGAGAGGGAAAAGGAGGAAGATAGAGAAAGAGAAACATCGATGTGTGAGAAAAATATCAATCGATTACCTCTTGCATACTCCCAACTGGTGGCCTGGCTCATGACCCTGGCATGTGCCCTGACAAGGCATTGAACTGGCAGCCTTTTTGTTTGCAGAACAATGCCCAACCTACTGAGCCACATTATTCAGGGCTACCTTACGATTTTTAAGCTGAGAACACAAATAGTGGGACCTTCAGAGAAGGTATGCTGTTTTAAGTACAGTATATAGTGTCAATATTGCAGTATATAGAACTTTCTCAGTAGTTCTGACATATCTGGAGAATAGAGGACTTGAAAATTCTTGGTACAAAAGAATATTGAATCCTGTAAATCTATAGTTGATGGTAATAATACATATATAGCACTTTACAAGGTTACATAATGCTTTCCCATGCAGAATGTATTTCTGGCTGTATACCTGTCTTAGATATACAACTCTGTGTAAATTAACTAAAAATCACAAAGTTGAACAGCCATTTTCACAATGCAGTTTTAGAACATGGCAATACGACCTACATGTATATTTGTGAATTCTGCTCAAAGATCTTTAAAATATACAAGGTATGTCCAGAAAGTATCCAGCTGTGTAATATGAAAAATAGAAACATTTATTGAAGAAGATACAAGATACACAGAACATTGTACCTAGAACAATGATGCTTTAGTCCTGTTCAAAGTAGGCACTTGGGGCCTCACACAGTTCTCCCAGCATCTCTTCCACTGTTCAAAACACTCTGTAAAATCCTTTGTTGGAATCACCATCAGCTTGTTGTATTTTCCTCAATCTCATCAATGGTCTGAAATCTCTTCCCTTTCAAAGGTTATTTAGTTTTGGGAGAAAGCAGAAGTCACAGGGATGCCAAATCTGGTTCATTGGTAGTGGTTTGAATCAAGTCATTAGCAACTGCAGCACGGCGTTCCTTCTGCTCTGTTAGCAGAAACTGCAGAACGAATTTTGCCACAACACGTTCCATGCCAAGATCCTGTGTCAAAATCTTGGACACGGTAATTTTTGTAATACCCAGATCAGCTTCTAGTTCTCGCACTTTCAGTCACCAATCTTTGTTGATTGCGGCCTGTGCACATTCAGCTTTCTCAGTGTTCTGCTTGTTGCAGGCCTTCCAGAGCGAGTATCACTTTCAACAGATTCTTGACCATCTTTGAAGCATTTGTGCCACATTTTTTATTTGCACTGCACGCATTGCATCGTCACCAAAAGCCTTCTGAATCATCCGAATAGTTTCCATGGAGGAATGTTCAAGCTTAATGCAAAATTTGATGCAGATTCATTGCTCTACTTGCTTAGTCATTTTGAATGTGATGGCCACACATGCTCATTCAACAGCATCTACTGTCCCTGCAAACTAGTACAGTGAAGTCATCATTATTCACACATGCGCATTCCAGTCCACTTTCCCTGGCTACCAGGTTACGTCGATGTCATGCAGACCATTCTTGTTATATTAACAATGGCTGGACTTTTCCGGACAGACCTTGTATGTATCTTATTTTATGGTAGAAGTCAATATGCAAATTTGTTCTACTTTATAGAAATGTGCTGGAATATATCTGTTTCTAGAAATGAGGGCATGCTTGTAGTTGATAGATCCTCTGAGAAGTCTAATGGCTTTTAATACCAGTGAATTTAGTCCTGGCATGTGTGGCTCAGTGGATTGAGCACAGGCCTGTGAACCAAAGGGTCGCTGGTTTGATTCCCAATCAGGGCACATGCCTGGGTTGCAGGGTAGGTCCCCAGTTGGGGGCACACGAGAGACAGCCACACATTGATGTTTCTCTCCCTCTCTTTCTCCCTTCCCCTCTCTCTAGAAATAAATAAATAAAAATCTTTAAAAAAAAAAGAAAACAGTGAATTTAGTTGCTCTACAAAGTACTATATGGATAATAGAACACTGACTAGGATAATGCTGAAGAACAAGGAACTTCCAGACAGATTCTGTAGGGCAGAAAACTGGCCTGTGATACCCTTATGGTAGCTTTGACACATTTTCTTCTCTATTTTTCTTTTGTCTTCATTTATTTACTTATTAAGTGTTGTAATCTCCAGATAACTAGAATATGAAATGCTTTTGATATTTTTAAAAGGTCTCTCAGTCCCAGCTGTTCCTGGAGCTCTCGGTCCTCTCACAATCGCCTCCTCTGCTGTCACTGGAAGGATGGCCATTCCTGGGGCTAGTGGCATACCAGGAAATTCTGTTCTACTTGTCACCAATCTCAACCCTGATGTGAGTTGAAAAGTATAAAATAGTCGTTCAGGAGGAGGTCTATAGTGGTTTCTGGTGTTAAGTTGTATTCCAAAAAAAAACTTTTTAAGTTTATTTCAATGATTTTTATTGAAATCCAACATGAATATATAGAGAGAAAATATATAAAACTAATGCTTTAAACAAAGTCAAGTGTTATTACTACAGGTAAACTTACTTTAAATTTTTCTTAAATTAGACACTTATATTTTGTATTATCCTTTTCAGCTTATCACACCACATGGACTGTTTATCTTATTTGGTAAGTTCTCTTTTGCTGTTTTTAATATTATCTGTGATGTGGATTGAACACATTTCATCATTCAGTAATATTTATTGACTTCCTCTGTGTGCTAAGTAGTGTGTTTGACACTGATTATAGAGTGGATCATAAGAATTAGTAAGTAATTACAGTGACAATAAAGTTTTGTAAAGAAGAGAACATGTAGCTGGGAGTCCTAACCTAGTTGAGAGAATCAAAGATGGTGTACCAAGAGAAATGATAGTTAATGATGTGGAAAATGAGTGTGTGTTAACCACATAGGAAAAGGAGGGCAAATAGCTTTTCTCAGATACTACCAGTGAGAGAGAAGGCTTCTGGAACATGGAAGTGAAGAAAGTCCAGTGGAGAATATAAGGGAGAGACATGTTGAAGCTGTACACATGGACAGAAGCAATGTCATGGAAAGCTTTGTAAGCCAAATTATGGAGCTTGGTTTTCATCTAAGAACAGTGGGGAACATTGAATAGTTAAAAGCAGGAGAGAGGCATAATAAGATTCAGGTTTTACAAATCTCTGAACTTTCTAATAGTGTTTCTCAGTTAAAAAAAATTAGCATATACTCCTAATGTATATATGCTTAATTATTCATATACTTTATCCATCTTGTATTATATACATTATGTATAGTATAATACGTACAAATACATGAGTGATTAAATAAGCTGTATTAAATATTTTGAAGATTTTATTAACGATGAAACTTTTTCATAAAAAACATTTAGGGAGAAATATGATTTAATATGCTTTCTTAATTTCAGAAATCTTTTTTATTTTGGTTCAGTATTCTAAGCTCTGATTTTAAATTCACTTTATTGTAGTACCTGATCTTAATGGTTGTCATAACTGAGGATAGCTCATAAACATATGCACTATAAATAGAAGTGTTTCATTATTGCTGTACGTAATTATGATACTAATTTTTCAGCCTAATCCACTAATTTCTGTTGTTCTTAGAAAAGTTCCATTTTTCTTCTGGTTAAATTAGTTGATCTTGAAAATTGTTTTATTAGAATATTTTTAACAAATGGGGTTAAAACTCACTTTCACTTGGAAGAATTTTTACTATGACAAAATTGTTTTAAATTTTTTGAGTGGGTAATGGATTTTTTAAACAGCATTTTAGAGATGTAATTTATAGCCAAACATTATACCACATAACAACACCATGATTATTAGTAAATTTATGGAATTGTGCAGCTATTATTATCAAAGCCAATTGTAGAACATTTTGATCACCCCATAGAGATCCTTTATGCTTATTTCTAGTAAAAGTTTTTATAGATGACACATTTCTGTTAATTTTCAATAATGAAATCAAGTATTAATGATACATTTTCGTATCTCTTTAATAGTCAAAGCATATTTCTTAAAGAAGTTAACTTCTCATTTAAAAAAATACTACACTCAGCTTGAAGAACAAGTTGTATGTGTATTGTTGTTTTTTTTTAAATAATATCTATTTCAGCCACTTGTTATTTCTGAAAAGGATAGCATATTTCTGAAAAGGACAAGAATACTTGTATTGTTTTAAATTTTAAAAGTACCACTCATCTCTAAGTTCAGCTGTTCTTAGGTGCCTTCCCACAAGATAACCAACACTTCTTAAGGATATTATTTTTGTAATATTGATGATACTCTGTAGCACATAAACTGCAATATATTAATATGCTAAATGAAAAAAATGAGAGAATGCCCTTCATATTATAGAAACTTTTGCCTATAATTTTATCTATATATTAAATATTAATTAAATATAACTTCTCATGTTGGTTTTCTATAAACAGATCATTTTGCTTGTTCTTTGAGATGTAGGACTCACAATGGGAAACACCAATGTAGAAAAATTCGTTGTAATGAAATCAACTAGGAGGCTGTTGCGACAGTGCAGATGTGAAATGGCGATAATAGCTTTGATGGTGATGATGATGAGAAGTAGACAAAAGTGATAGATGTTTAGGCCATAGAATTAGTGGGGACTGGTGATTTATTGAATGTAATGGTTTAAGGAAAGAAAGTCAAAAGATGAATTCCAGGTGTCTTAACTAGAGCAAGTATTTGGATGATGGTAATATTTATCAACAGAGATTGTGAACATGGAATTGGGAAAAAGGAAAAGGTGATGTGGAACATAGAGGAGATACAAATTTGGGAGCGTATATATGAAGTTGCGCAGGGAATGTATACAGGGTGGGTCAAAAGTAGGTTTACAGACAGGGTGGGTCAAAAGGTTTACAGTTATTTGAATGGAAAATAATATAATAATTAATAACTAATAATGTAAGAATAACCTCACATATTCACAACTGTAAACCTACTTTTGCCCCACCTATATGAGGAAAACCTTTTAATGTATTAGTAATATTAATTAAATATTACACAGGCATTAAAAATGTTTTCTTTTGTCTTTTTAATTAGGAGTATATGGTGATGTACATCGAGTGAAGATTATGTTTAATAAGAAAGAAAATGCTTTGGTTCAGATGGCAGATGCAAATCAAGCTCAGCTAGGTATTAATGATTAATAATAATAATAATGGTGACTTTTACCTTTTGTATTATGATTTTTCCTAGAAAATAAACTTACCACTAGTAGGAACATACTTTTACTGAAGAGTACCTCTTTGTGCTAATGTCTTCATTGTTATTTGAACATGCTCGTATTTTATAAAGATTTAAAATATTTATTGCTCTTTAAAGTTCATTTATCTACTTGAACATAATGCTATTTAGAGCTTTGAGTCTAGGGTTTGTCTTTTTAGTTTAAACTACTGAACATCACTTTCTTTGTTTAATTTTTTTCTATTTGGTTGCTTGATTTTGTTGTAAATTAAGTTTTCTAGAGCTGTTTGCATAGCATAAAAATTTGGGCAAACTTTACAGTGATGGTACAACAAAGTATCATTCTGTGGTCTCATTGTTCATTGTTACAGTGGCTACTATATTAACACTCAGAATTTTTATAAAACATACTTTGCTTCAGATTAAACTGAGTTATTCAATAACCATTTCTTGAGCACTTGCTTTGTTTCAGGGAGTCTGGAACTTCCTATCATTGTGCTAGGAAGATAGTTTTTTTGGTTTTTATTTATTTTTAGACAGAGGGGAAGGGAGGGAGAGAGACATCAATTTGTGGTTGCCTCTCATGTGCCCCCTACTGGGTACCTAGCCCACAACCCAGGCATGTACCCTGACTGGGAATTGAACCTGCGACCCTGTGGTTCACAGGCCTGTGCTCAATCCACTGAGCCATACCAGCCAGGGCAGAAGATAGTTGTTTTTAGTTTGACTGCTTTTCTTCCCTTATAGTAAAATTAAATCATTAGTACATTTCTATATGTAAGTTTTTAAATTTATAACCATTTTAACTTTGAAACCAACAGTAGAATTTTAAATGACTAAATAAAAAGAATTTTTGATAATTTAGACAAATTTTACAGAGACTATCTTAATACCCAAACTTATCTCATTTTCTTCCTATGCACCAGCAATGAACCATCTGAGCGGTCAGAGACTTTATGGAAAAGTGCTTCGTGCTACACTTTCCAAACATCAAGCAGTTCAGCTTCCTCGAGAGGGACAAGAAGATCAAGGTCTGACTAAGGATTTTAGTAATAGTCCTTTGCATCGCTTCAAAAAGCCTGGCTCTAAAAACTTCCAGAATATTTTTCCACCATCAGCCACTCTACATCTTTCCAACATCCCGTATGTACCTAATTAGTTATTATTCATTTAGGTGGTTAGTAATCCACTGTTGACTAGTGACTCATAGTTATTATAATAAACAGCGTATGTTTTAAGAGAAGTAAAAACTCCGAAGTTATTTCAATGCAGCAGTTGTCCTATCAACTAGTTTCTTATGAGATGATTCATTTGCCATTATATCTTAAGAAGGTTGTATCTTCAGTCTGCATGGGAAAATGTGAAAGATAGCAGTGTTTTAAAATTTTCTTTCCAAGTAGAAAATTAGCAGCTAGTTACCTGTTAACCTATTGGTTATAAAATGACATAAAAATAAATATACACAGAAATATTTCATTGGTATGTATTCATCCATCCTTTTGTATAGAAGTAAAGATTCTTAAGTAAACATAGAAAAATCAAATAATTTATGAATTTAAGAATTTGTTTAAAAAAAGAATTCTTAGTTATATACAAGCTGCAAAGCCATATATAATTGTTAATTATAATTAACATTAATTGTAACTAATTATAGCTAAAAATGATTCTTGTGGTGACCGCTCTGTATTAACCAGCTTTGTAGTAGGCTTGTTCTTTAGTAATCTAAGTCTAGAATCAACAAGACTACAGCCCATGGACCAAAACCATCTGTTTTCGTATGGACCATGAGCTAGCTAAGACTTTTTATATTTTCAAATGGTAGGGGGAAAGGAAAAGGAAAATACTTTTTGATTTGAGAAAATGATTAAAATTCAAATTTCATGTTCCATAAATAAAGTTTCATGGAGCACAACCACTCTTACTCATTTATATATTATCTGTGGCTGCTTTTGAGCTATAACAGCAAAGCTGAAGAGTTGTAACAGAAATTGTATGGTCATCAAAACCGAAGGTATTTACTGTGTGTCCTTTTATAGAAAACATCAGGCAACCCCTTTTTTAATTCTTGAAATCCTTAACCAAAAAAGGTGGCAATTTTGTATAATCTATTAAATGACAAGGGATATGCTTTGGAAAGGGTGGGTAAAAAGCTGTGGTGTACAGTTGTATGTGTGTGGAAATTTAAAGACCAAAGGAGTGGACAATGGTAAAGTTTTAGAACATTTTTGAGAATGAGAATAGGAGATGAATAGATATAGAAAATAATTACTCAAAACTGTTGATAACTTGGGCTCCCAGCTAGCCTCTCATTAGCCTACTTAGGGAAACTTTGAATCTGAATTGGGTAATAGCACAAGCCTCATGCTAGCTAGGAAGTTGGAGGAACCACTTAAAAAAAAATCTAAATTATGCTGACCTAGAAATTCAGCAGCTCATCACTACAGAGTCACATAGAGGGGCAACATATTTACATACTGAGGCAGGCTCTTGCCATCATTACTTATTTAAATTCAATACATTATCCAGGAGCTGACCTCAAGTTGCAACATACATAGGACATGTGAGTAGAAGAGAAAAAGGACATTAATATTTTCTGATCCATCTACCAAATTTTGGGCACTGTGGTGGTGTTTTATGTGTGTTACCTCATTTAATCTCCATATTAAATTTTTTTAAAAATTGTGGTAAAATATATACAACTTAAAATTTACCATATTAACCATTTTTGAGTGTGCAGTTTAGTGTATGTTTACATTAAGTATATTTATATTATGTAACCATCACTTTTATTCAGCTCTAGATCTTTGTCATGGTCCAAAACAGAACGTTTATACCCATTGAACAGTAACCACATTTCCCTCTACTCCCTAGTCCCTGGTAACCAGTACAGTATTTTCCCCCTTACAGGAAATGTTTCAAGACCCTATATGTACATAATACCTATGATAAAGTTTAATTTATAAATTAGTCACAAGAGGCTGATAACAATAACATAATAAAGTAGTATAATTACAACAAAATACTGTAATGAAAGTTACATAAATGTGGTCCCTCTTATTAAGTTAAGAACTTTCTCCTTTTCACTTAAAGTAAGCACTTTATTGCTTCCCTTTGGCACATCTGAATTGCCAGCATCATTGCTCTTATACTTTTGCGCTATTAAGTAAACTAAGGGTGACTTCAACACAAGCACTGCAATACCACCAGGACAGGTGATCAAACACTGAAGTGTCTAGTGACTGACAGACTTGTAGCATATAGAGTCTGGAGACACTGGACAAAGGGATGATTGTGTCTTAGGAGCAATGGGGCAAGATCGCAGGAGATTTCCTCATGCTACTCAAAATGGCACCAAATCTAAAATTTATGAATTGTTTACTTCTTGAATTTTCCATTTAATGTTTTCAAACTGTCAGTAACTGAAACTGTAGAAAGCAAAACCGTGACAAAGGGGCCACCGTATTCTGTTTTTTGTTTCTTTCAATTTATCCCTAATAACCTTGGAGGCAAGGTCATGAGCTTCGTTTTATCAATGAAACTGAGAGTCTCAGGTAAAGTAACTTACTCAAAGTGACATAAAAGTGAATGAGAAATATAGAATGCGAACGCAGATCTGTCAGTATTTTTCTGCTATATTGACCTTGCAGGCAGTTGTGAGATGAAGAGTCTGTGTTTAGTTAGTTAACACTCATGTGGTAGACCAATGTATTGGGTATCTACTGCTGCATAACAGATCACCCCAAAACTTAACACAGTAGTAAGTGTTCATTATCTTATCCTGTAACTGTGAGTCAAGAAACCAGAAGTTGCTTAGCTGGGTTGTTTTGGCTGAGTCTCTCATAAGGCTGCATCTTAAGGTTTAACTAGGGCCACTTCCTAAGCGGCTCATTCATGTACCTATTTATTGACAGGAGGTCCTCACTTGCTTGTCACAAGAACCTCTTCAATGGCTGCTTATGTGCCCCCATGAAATAGCAGCTGGTTTCTTCCAAAGCTAATGATTCAAGAGAATGTAAGGTGGGAAATGCAGTGTCTGTCAGCCTCAGAAATCACGTGTGTCATTTCTACAGTACCCTTTAAAGATTATAGAGGACGTCTCTATTCAGTATGGCAAGGGTGTGAATTCTAGGAAGCCAGAGTAATTGGGGGCCATCTTAGAGCCTTACTACCATATACACATACTCATAATTATCCTGAAAGCAGTTTAAAATGTAGAACTCTGTAGTAGACAAGTCAGAACTAGGGAAATAGTTTTGGAAGTAATAAAGTTAATTACTGAAGCCAGTGTTATGGGTACTAATCCCTTTGAAAGAATAAATACAGGGGTGGGCAAAAGTAGGTTTACAGTTGTAATGCAAATAAATAATAGAATAATTAATAATATTAGTACAATAAACTGTTCCACATACTAACAACTGTAAACCTACATTTCCCTGCCCTTGTATAGAAAGATTTTCTTGTTCTTTATATACCTGTCCACATCTTTTGCAAAAGATTTCAGACAAAATTCCGTTGTTTGAGGACATGTATATGCCAACCTCAAACATTTTTCAGGGCAGTTCCAAAACATGCCTGCATTGCATGTCTTGATTCTCTTTGCTTCACTTGAGAATAAGGGCTAAGATATTTGGTTGACTCTCTGATGTTTTCACAGACCTTCTGTTACAATGGATGATCTGAAGAACCTTTTCACTGAAGCTGGCTGTACAGTGAAGGCTTTTAAATTCTTTCAGTAAGTCCTTTTAAGACGTAACTTAACCTTTTTTAATATGGTATGCAAATTTTAAGGTAGCTCAATGAAGTCTTTTAGGGTTGGGGAGAAGGTGTATAGGCAAAATTAATTCTGTACACGTTTTATATTTCTTACCCCATTTTCAGGAAAGATCGCAAAATGGCCCTTATTCAGCTGGGATCTGTGGAAGAAGCAATCCAGGCCCTCATTGAGCTTCATAACCATGACCTTGGAGAAAATCACCACCTCAGAGTTTCCTTCTCAAAATCCACAATCTGACTTTTCTGTGAATTTTTCTCCTAAGACTGGACCATAATTTCAGTAAAACGTTCAGACATAGACTGAAGCAGCTCTAGACCAATTCTGCCTCTTTTACATAAATAATTTTTTCTGAGTTCGCTATTTAAGTATATTTAAAAAATTAAGAGATGATTACCCCCACACACACTCCCCACTAATATGTGATCAACGATGTGTTTTTCCTTTATACCATAATTTCTATGAAAATGGTCTTCAGGAAAAAAGAAAACTTTTTTTAATAATTACATTCCCCATATTAAATTAGATTTCAAGAGGACAGACTTTCTTTTAGTTTGGGTCCAGATCAGCCTTACACATTTCTAAACTCCTTTGTACTTTACAAAATTTAAGCATACCAACTTTTTAAAATTACTTGATGTAAGTAATTTCAATTTCTTACAACCGTTTTTAACTTTATGATTCATAATTATGTTCACTTATAAATTATTTCACCTATATTGACAGTTATACATAAATTGGGTTGTTTTGGAAGCAGATTTACAAACTTCCATGTTTTCTTTCAATGGCTTGTTTCACTCTTAAGACACTCCTTTGAATATTGCATATCTTTAACTTTTTAAGATTGTTTGGAGAAATGAAGTGTCTCAGCTGTCCCCAAGGAAATTCCAGCCAGGATCAATTAAGGTGTTAGAATAATTAATAATTTTATTAGGAAAAATCATGTTTTAAATTTCAAAATAACACATTTGCTGAGTAATATATGATCTTAGAAAATTTAAAAAAAATAATTCTACTTATAAACTACTTTTTTATCATTGCTTTCAGGAAAAAGTTTACAGTCTTAAGGAAAATATTCAGGTCTATCATATGGTTTGACAGATTTTTAAAAGTTATTTTTGGTAAGGTCTTCTTTTAGAAATAAATTAATCTCAAGGGTTTTTTGTACCACTATAATCTGTAATACTTATTCAGAATTACTGTGTATTTACTTAATTTCTTCTTATGTGCCTTATTATGTGCTTATGATACAATAGGTTAGAGTTTTATCTAAGAATCTTGAAAGCTATATTGTGGGCTTGGTGAGTGTTTTTCTTTTCTTTCCCTGTTTTGGTAAGGATTTTAAAGTTTTTTTTCATTGCTATTTTAAGTGGTTTTCAATAAGTAATAGTTTTTTATTCAAATTTATGGTGCTTTGGTGCAGAGATGGGGTAGGGAAAGGTAAATGGTTTGGAGAATAACTCAGTGCGCACCTGTAGGCCTCTTCACATTGTGACCAATAGCGGTCTGCCAGTAGGGCATACCAGTTTGGACCTATGAAATACAATCTCAGTTTCTGGATCTTGTCTAATCTTTATCATTCATCATGTTTTGTCTCAGGATTGCTTGGTTTTTCTCAGTACTCAAGTGAGAATTTGCTTTTCTTTGTTAATATAACATCATTACTGGGTGCCCACATACACAAGAGTATGACACAGTGGGTTCCTTCTCATCTCTGTCCTGTTTTCTTTTTGGCTGAATGTAAGAATACATTTTAATGTTGCTTCAGTAATTGTAAAATGTAAAATTGTTTCTTTTTAATGAGAAACTTTGCTTTTGTTAATTACTCCTTCAATGCTTGATCAGATTTTTTTAAAGCAGGAATTGTCAAAAGGGACATTTTTGTCACCACTTTTACACTTTTCAGATTCTCAGAGTTGCTCATCTCATCTTTAAAATGAATATCTCAATCTTTTTGCTATATTCCAGCCATTAATTTGAACACAGGAAGGTTTCTGCAAGAGATGTTTTACAAAAAATCAGAGACAACAGAGGCTTTCTGCTTTCTGTTTAAAAAATTCTGCTTTCTGTTTAAAAGCAGAATTCAAGCAACACTGAGCAATAGTAGGTTAGTAGAATAGGAAGGAGGACACTAAATTGAGACATTTTGGGTGGATCAGTATAACATTGGCTGAATTGATAGGTATAATCACTTAAGTTTTTATTTTTTCATTTATGAGATATATTTTTAGTGAAACACTGAGTTAAGGGGGGAAGAAAAAATTTGAGAAATCTCCCAATATTGCTTCTTTTTTCCTTTCATATAGGCACTATTAAAATTTTCAACCTGTTAAATTGGATTATTTCATTTGCTTTGAGTTAAGAATTATTGTGTAATTTAAAGTCATGACTCTCCTAACATTCAGTGGGTAAGCATAGCAAAAGTGTAGCCGAAGGGAGATCATAATGGTGTTGAATGTACTTTTGAAATAGGGCATGGTTTTTAAATCTGAGAGAGAACATTTGAATCCTTTTCAGGGATTTGTGTGTGTGTGTGTGTGTGTGTGTGTGTATGTATGTGTAGATAAGTGTGTGTGTGTGTGTGCGTGCATGCACACACATACATACACTCCTGATGTACATACATATACACATTACATACTTTTTAATTTATTGACAAAGAAAATCAAATTAAGATTTGAGAAAGTGAGGTATTCTTATTTAAAATAGTGTTTGAAACCATCAATTTGTAGCACATCAATGTTGTCCATACTGGGCTATTTGCTATTTGAATTTTAGAAGTCTACGGTATTTGTGTTGGCATAGTTTCTGTAAAAAGTTTTTAAAATATCAGGGTAGTGGAAAAATTAGATCTTTGGTGGTGGTGTTTTTGTTTTTGGCATGCGCTTATTAGATACCTTCTAAGCCATGTTTTTGCTGTTGAGCTGACATAGTATTCTATTTTTATGCTTGCTTACTTTATTTTAAGGAGTATTGTTTTATCACTTTTGGAAGTGTCTTCACTTTTACACGAAGTATATATATTCAGGACTTTTAAAAAATAGCAGTACATACTAGTTTAATAGTAGCAATTTATGCCAAAACATTTTTTTTTAGATTTAAATAACTTGCAGAACAGTAAAATGTGTTTTGTGTGAGATACAAATAGAAAAATGACCCAGTATCTTAATTGATAACTGAAGAATTTCAGAGGTTTACCCAGTATCTTATTAAATTCTTTTTAAGACTAAATATTATGATCATTTATTTGTAGTAACAATGTTTCTGATTTTTTGGGGGGCTGTAGTTGGAAGATGCAGACCTCACAGTTTGTAGAGACATAACTTCTTTCTGCTTGCCTAATTCTGCCTGCCTAATTCTTTAAGGGAGCAGAGCAATGCCTTCTTTGTCTGTGTACAATAGTAATCATAGATTTTACATCAGTTGGTTAGAAATAACTCTCATGAATGTCTGTTCAGTTTCATGTAAATTTTGCAAAGCTTCCATGTCCTTAACACAGCAATGTTTATATATACATTGAGTATGTTATCATGCAATTGCTCCTCTGTTCCCACTAAATATTTTTTGGACAAAAGATGACAAACGCAAAAGTATGTGCCCCCCCCCCCACCATGTGTCACTTAAAAAACGGAAGTTTGCCAAGCTATTAGCCCATCTCTTAGAAAACCTAATGTGTACTGCTATTTTTAAAACCAAAAAGACGGCATGACTATGCGTAAAAGCATTTTTCTTAGCCTTTCCTTTGTCTTGATCTGTGAACAAGAATAAAACTGCCAGACTTAAAATATTCTACTATTGTGCTAAAAGAAATACAATTTAGATTGCACAAAACTTTTCCTTTAAAGAAAATATAACTCAGCAATCTTTTAAAAGAGCTGTGTTGTTACCTACAAGACTATTTGCAGTCTTTTTTCAGAGCAAATTCTAACAGTTAGTTGTGAATTGTTTTAAAAAATAGAAAATTAATGAAATATTAGTTTCAGGGGTTTTATAGAGGGAGAAAAACTAAACGGGACCAAAGTTTATGTGCCTTCTTCAGTAGTCTTAATTGACCTATTCTTCCTATTCAAAACTAAGATAGTATCAGTATGCTGGTTTTCAGGAAATATGTACTATATAGTTTTAAAAGAATGTTATCCCACAGACTATTCATACAAGTGAAGAATTGTAACTGAGTAAATGAAGTCTCAGTCACACTTTTGCCTTTATTGCATAATATTCATTATATAGCATTGTGCAGGTCCAAGAACAGAGCTGCTGTAAATCTTTGTGGTCATCATCTTAGTTTTTGTAACCTGAGGCATGTGTTCCAGAGAACAGGGATATTTGTCTGGTCCAATGACCTTGGTGGTAATAGTCATAATTGAAAGCTGCTTATGGCAAGCTTAATACAGCACTGTAAACGGATTTTTGTTGTGTTATTTTCACTTCTTAAATCTATATAGTAGTTGTAATAACAGATATTTAAATAGCTATTTTTGATGTCATACTCTGGCCTTCCCCCACCCTTGCCATTGTTACCCAGATATTTAAAAAATTCATCCCATACCCAGAAAGTACTAATTATAAAGATCACCGACCAAGCAAAGTTTTGCATCAAAATGTCACCTCATTGCTCTGACCAAAGACTGACTTCTGGTTTTAACTTGTAGTAAGCATTTTTTCTGACGCTCCTTTCTGAAAGAAGACCCAGCGCAAAGCGGCCTTTACTTTCTATTTCCTATCGGTGAATAGACTACTTAGAGAAAATGGGAGTTAAAATGTGAACAGAATGGATTGGGATGACAAGGGTTTAATGGGCATTTTCAGTACTGTATTTAAGAAAAAAAATAGCACAGCTAGGAGCCTCTGACATTGTCTTGTGTTTTACATGGTCTGTTCATAAGATTCCCTTTTTCGGTTTATAAGAATGTTCATCTAACAGAAGATGCTGTAAATATTTGTAACAACATTTTTTTTAACCAGGCCAAAAAAGAAAAAAAAAAGAGGGGGGCGGCGGGTTTGGGAACAAGTTAACATATAAAGTGGTTTTATATAAAACATCAATTGTCTTGTATATTTTGATAAGCAGCAGTACCAGCTTCATTTGTAACACGGTTTGTGGCATTGAGGGGGGGGAAGGATTCTGTGATTGTTGGAGTGAATTGTTATAAATGCAAAGAGAAGACAAAATATTAAAAAACATATTTTCTAAATGCGTAGTGCATGGTTAATTCAAGCTTCTGTACCCTACAGTATATTCCATTTTCATTCAGTTTGTATATTTGCTGACTATTACTTGGTATCTCTAATCTCTTTTCCTAACAAGTATAGCATTGTAGCATGCCTTTTAATAAATGTCATGACATCTGTACGCTCTTAAAGTTTTTCTGTGTTCTTGTCTGTACTTTGGGTTTCCCCTTGTCTTACCTGTAATTCTAATGATGTCATATTTTCTTTTATTTTTCATAGCCATCCATCTAAACTTGTCATAGTTAGAGAGTAGCAAGCACATATTTATACAGCTTTAAAAACTGAAAAAACCCTGAGTCTACTAACCACTTCTCTTGAAGGAACAATTCTCATTTTGATGAGCAAACTGCTTTTCTAATCGCCTGTAGTGCAGCTTTTTCTATGGCACTCCTCCTTTAGTACAAGTACTCAGTGGCGCGCTTGCTTGTTTTCTGTCTCTTTCTGTCTCTCACACACACACTTGATAAATGTGAAACGCCAAAAAAGAGTTGGAATACTTTTTCTAGTCTGGTTCCGTTTTTGGCTTCCCTGTGGAATTAGTATCCATAAATTTTGAGATACAAGGCATGATCTCAAACCAAGTTTCTGTCCTTTTTAATTCAAAGGGTAATACAGTTACTAGCTGCCCATATATTGCTTTTCCTTAGATAAATGTTTTATTTCTGGGGTCTGTCTTTAAAGAAATATTGGATTGTAGGAGTCTAAATAGTAATTTATTTTAATCTTTTACCCTGGGATCTTTTAGAAGAGAGAATTTATTATGTAAACACTACTGATCTTTGCTGGATCACCTGTAAAATCTCCATAAATGTAACTACATCAATTCTTTTTAGAAAAACATGAGACATTTTTATCAGGAAAAGATAAAATAAACCAATGGCCATGTGAAGTTTTTATAAACTTAATTTGACCATGAAATGCTTATTTACATAGCAGAGTGCTTATAACCATCATTAAGAATCATGCGTTTTTGAGTCTAAGTGAATCTAAGAGATCATCTAATTCAAATCAACTTTTTGAAGAAACAACACAGGAGGAAGTGACTTGCCCAAGGCCACACACCAGTTAATTGCAGGGTCTGGACTAGAAACCAAGTCTCCCTGACATTGTCCGCTACCCTCCATTGCACCCAGCTGTTGTGGTTTTGTCCTGCCGAGTGCTGTGAGGGTTATACTCTTGAAGGTCTGTACCTGGGATAGAGGTGCTTATATTTAACCAAAACCAACTCAAAGACTGCGTAAGTGGTGGTGGTGGTTCTGCTGATGGGTGAAAATGCCTACCTACTACTGAAAATTTTAAATTAAAAATGTAATTTCAAGTTGTAAATTTGAGAAAACTAAACTCAAAAAAATGTAGTTACTATTTGTCTTAGTTTGCTAGGACTGACAACAAAGTGTTCCAGACTAAGTAGTTTAAACAACAGGAATTTATTTTCTTAACAGTTCCAGAGATTAGAATTCTAGTCCAAAACCAAGGTGTCAGCAGAGTTGATTTCTTCTGAGGCCTCTTTCCTTGGCTTACAGATGGCCATGTTCTCCCAGTGCCTTCAAATGGTCTTTCCTCTGTGTGTGTATCTGCGTCCTAATTTCTTCTTGCAAGATACTGTTACACCAGTCATACTGGATTAGGGCCCACCCATCTGACCTCATTTTACCATAAATACCTTTTTAAACGCCCTGTCCCCAAATACAGTTACACTCTGAGATGCAGGGGATTTAGGACTCCAACAAGAATTTTGGGGGAACACAATTTAGCCCATAACATTATTTAATAAAAATTATTCGTTCAGCTGACCAAGTATGAATTGTACCAGCAATTGAGCTGGGTGCTGGGAAACAGAGCATTAAGGATATGATGACTCCATTTTTAGAAATGTCTGATAAGTGGAAATTTCTGTCTAAATGCATAAACCAATTTGTCTTAAACTCTTGCCTTTGATTTAGGAAGTCCCCAAAATGCATCATGAGGCCTCTAGGCAATTCTAGGCAATTCTAGACAATACATTTGGCTTAAAGCTATCATACAGCTAATTATGAATATGTAGGGACACATAACATATACCTGCATACGTAACTGTCTACTTTTGACTCAGAAACCTGCTATTTCAGAGCAGTGATCATTTCTAAGACACACCAGACTTGAACAGTGCAGGAATAAGCAAGCAAGAGGACACTATCAAACAAGGTGTGCCCAGTTTTTAATGCTCAACATTTGTTGATAATTGAACTGGAGTGCTGGAATAGGAATAATTAGAAATATTAAGTCCACTCTTTACAATTTGTGTGATTCTGTTTCTACATCAGTGATTTTTTTCTGTTGTCTTATTTTGACTTCTGATGGAAATTTGTCACTGTGTCTTTCTGTCAAAATAACTAATGCTGAACTGATAAAATTTTAGTAACAATTTTGTTGGTATTACTGCATTCATGAACTTGGGTTTGGATGTAGACCTCCCAGTTTTGCTAGTATAATTAGCCAGAAAAAGTTAATGATACTAATGTTCCATAAAGGTTTGTATATCTTATTCCTGTGTTCTAGATATAGAGAGGGTAATGGGAAAAATTCAGTGGTTCTGTTGGAATAAATTGCCCCCAGATTAAGTAAACTATGTCCAGGGTTATGGAATTATTATTCAGCTAAACCCTCGATCCTGCAGAATTTAAATGTCAGATTCTGACCTGTTTAGCAATTGTTTTTAACCAAATGAAAGCTGGTATTAATGCCAGACAAAGTACTTTCAAGCAACAGGTAGTGGTAGAAATAAAGAGATTTTATAGTGAGAGTCATATAGTGGAATACTTGATAGTTATAACTGTAGTTAACGATAGTTAAGTGAACACAAAGCTACATAAAAGCTACATGGGAGAATCTCACAGATGTGATGTTGAACAAAGAAAGTCACACAAAAGAATATATAGTGTTTAATTCTATTTACGTCAAGTTCAAAAACAGGATAGTGGTTACCTTTGGGAAGGAGGTAATTGAGGGGATGAGAGGTTTCTAGTGTGTGGTAAATGTTTTATTTATTAACCTTTGTACCAGTTACCCAGGACTGTTTGCTTCCTGATAATTCTTTGCTCTTCTACACTTAGGATTTGTGCATTTATCTGTGTGCTGCATTTCATTTAAAAGGATTTTAAAAACTTTATAATTATGCAAGGTGCTATTGTCTCCTTCTTCTTTAATCAGCTGATTATTCTACCCACTAAATAAGTCCTTGTTATAAAGTACTCAAGATACCATGGACTGAGCTTCACCATGAAACTCGCAAATATATATAGTATTCATCTCTGATGACAGCATACTTACAGGAAAAATGTTTCCCTGACAAAACAAAAAAAAGCCACAAACTCTATTTTCAGGAAATTCTACATTTTTGAACCATTTATACCCAATTAAATTCAAAACGATTTTATTCATACAATTGACCCTTGAACAACACAGGCTTTAACTGGATTCATTTATGTGTGGATTTGTGGATTCAACCAACTGCAGGTTGGAAACAGTATTTTTGACCCGTGGCTGGGAACCCGTGGATATGGAGGGCCCGCTATGCACTGTACACCATTTTATTTATATAAGGGACTTGAACATCCCTCGGTTTTGGTATCTGCAAGGAGTCCTGGAACCAATCCCCCCAGATACCAAGGGATGACTGTTAGTTTGGGGGAGTCAAAAGCTGTACTCTGGTTTTGGACTCTGCAGGGGTTGGTGCCCCCACTCCCTGTCCAAGGGTCAAATGTACCTATTTTGTTTTTGCAGCTAGAAGCCTGATCTGGTAGGCTGTTTGATGTCTGACCCCTTACATATTTTCATCAAGAAAAGCCAGAAAGACCTACCGTCCAAAGAGAAGACTTTAAACGAAAGGCTTAGTGAAACTTCTTGTCATTAAGATTCTTAAATATATATTAATTAGTATAGTGTGGTGAATCTCTGTGTACCCAATACCCAAGTGCAGTTAGAGGCCAATCTTGTTTTGTCTGTTCTTCCTCACTCCCTAGATTATTTTGAAGCAAATCCCAGTTACAGAATTTCATCCACAAACATGGCTATATGTTTAAATTCATACAATACAATTATTAATAAAGTCTTCAAAGTCATTCCACCTTTCCCCCCCTTGCAACTTGTTGAAGAAACAGTTACTTGCTCTGTAAAAATTCCCAACAGCCTGGATTTTGCTGATTATGCCCCCATGGTGTTATTTTAATACGTCTTCCCACCTCAAATTTTCTGTAAATTGGGAGCTGCTGCTTACCTTCTTCCTGCCTCCCTGGTTTTCTTTTTGTATGCTTTTTAAAAATTATTATTTATTGATTTTAGAGAGAGAGGAAAAAACATCAGTTTGTTGTTCCATTTGTTTATGCATTCATTGCTTGCTGCTTGTGTGTTCCCTGACTTAAGATAGAGTCTGCAACATTGGTGTATTGGCATGATGCTCTAACCAACTGAGCTACCTGGCCAGGGCTGGTTTTTCTTTTTTATTTGGGGCGGGGGACGGGGGCAAGACATACTTTATAGATGGCATTTGGCACTTATGTGTCTTGTGATGGTAATAATTGATGATCATTGCTTAGTTCCATTAGTTTTTACAGATTGCAAAATGGTGAAGCTCTATTCCCTTTGCATGTATTGTTTGGATTACTTTTATATGAGAAACTTCTCCATATCCATTTATTTGGTTACTCAGAGGTGCACTCTATAGGAAAAAACAAGATAAACACTTGATTCTTTCCCTTTATTTGCCTGTTTTCA